TGACCTGAAAAGATAACTCAATATTATTGGGATAAACAACTAGTATTTCAGGACATAGATGCATTTCACAAATTCAGAACGCTGAAACAGGTTTGTACTCACATCACCAGCATAGTGGCAAATTGTGAAGTCAGTTCGAGATAATTTTGGCTTGCTAAAGTACTTGTTATCTTTCAATACTTCGTACAGCTTTTGAGAAAAGGAATTATGTGTTGATGTTTGGAGCTTGCTGCAAGAGACAGGTATATAACTTCAATCAAAGGAGAGACAATATATGAGCAATAATAGCAATTGAAGCTCTTACGCTTACCAAGCCTCGTCCAGAAGAGCAATAATACTGCCATGTTTCTGAAACGTAAGAAGACAATAATGAGCATACGAGTTTGAGTTAAAATGGAAACTATTTACTAAGAGCTCGCAGGTAAAACGTAGTGAAACCATTTACCTTCTCAATAAGTTCCAAAATATATCGATTATCAGGGAAATCAATGTGTTTCCACTCAATTTCTTCTTTCTTGTACTCGTCTTGTTCCATTTTCAAGACATGCTGCCCAGGAAAAGTATCATAGATAAGAAAGGAGCAAAGCTGAATAAATAAATTTTGACGACAAAAAAAAAGCTGAATAAATAAATAAACTATCAGAAGAGAGCAGAGATCAGATAAACCTTAGTGAAATGTTGCTGAAGTTTCTCATTTGTCAAATTGATGCAAAATTGCTCGAAACTGAAAATAAAAACATGCATTAGTAAGTCATGTCATGTATTCTGATGTTTCATGTGAGCCTTTGGTCCATAGTATTTTCTCTAAACCAGTTTCCTTGCATTAATCAAACATAAGGAATAAGCTTAAGCACCTGTTTTTCTTGAAACTCTCAAATCCATATATATCCAGCACTCCAATCATGTTTTTTGAGTCAGGATCTTGACCAATTGAATTATTGATCTTGTTTACGATCCTACAAAAGCAATAAGGAAGTTATCAAACAGTAATGAAAGTATCTTTCGGAAGCAAGAAAGAGAATCATCCAGCTGCATGAAAAATCATGTGCTCGTAAATACTGTACATACCAATCAAACAATCTTGCATATACAAATTTTGCCAAGGCATCTCTGCTGAGTGCCGCATCATTTGGATTCAGACATCTGGAAATTGTTTCTTCAGGTGTCACCATTTCACGTTTACAAAGAGAATCTTCCAGTGCCTGTTCATCACACCTGCCGAAATAATTTCAAGGAGTCAGGAATGATTTATTTTTCACATCATCAGATAATTGATTAACTATGTATCAGAAAGGGTAATTTTCACATTGAAAGTCATCAACTTAAGTAGTTACACACATGAAAAGCTCAGCCGCAATCTTCAGGTGTGTCTTGTCTTTTGGAACTGACGAGTCTGGTTCTTCTCCTACTGCAAATTCTATATTACCTAGATGAAGAATAGCAGCCACAACTCGAAATATTGCTTCCTGAGAACAAATTGACATTAGATACACTCATATTCCGCTATCACCATATTTACTAGGAGACGGGGAAAAAAACTACCTGTTCCTCTGAACTAATCCCAATAATGCTCATTGCTTCTCGGGTTTTAGTATACTCCTTTGAATCATCCACCCCCTCTAACTTAATACATTGAGATCGATTTAGATAACGGAATTCTGTTGGTTCCTTTAATTTTAGTTTTCTTTTGTCCTGTCAGATAATAAAAGGAAAATGAGAAGCATCAGGATAACAGTTTCAAAGATTGGGCTTAGAGTACAGTTTCAAACTTTCAGTGAACAAGGGCTACAAGAGAGTAAAGATAAATGGAAAGTTTTTACTATCTATCAAAATAGTTTGTCGTAAATTATGTATCCCGGATGATGGATATATCAAATATCAAAGCCTCCAGATAGATGAATATTTAACAACTCTGGCATGTTTGAAAAGAAAGAAAAGCCATATGTACCTCTGGTGGTGCAGCACAAAGCATGTAAAAACAGTGATAGTTTCTCTCGGGATCTGATACTTGACAAACCCGTGATTTCTCTAGCAAATAAGTCCTGATAGCAGCTCCTGATATTCTTCCCCTTTGATCAAACTGAATCTCCACGAATTTACCAAATCGACTGGAACATAATAATGATTGTACATATGAAAAGTGATGAAAAAATAGATTTCAGTATAAAAAATAGTGACGCAAAAGTGTGAGTTTGCGTGCATGTGTGTTATCACCTTGAGTTGTTGTTCTTTACGGTTTTTGCATTTCCAAATGCTTCTAGAACAGGATTGGACTGCACACAAATACATCATAAAACATTCATGACAAAAAATGATATCTTACTAAATTCTAGAAATCCTGTCTTTGACAATCCACAAGTTCTAAAATAAAAAATTTGCCATTAGTTACCTCCAAAACTTGATCTTCGACAGTCCTTCTGTCAGAAACAGCTCGACCTCCCATTTTCGCTAGATATTTCATAAGCAATTTAGCAGTCTCAGTCTTCCCTGCTCCACTTTCACCACTTACCAAGATTGATTGACTAATTCCCTCATTCATCATTTGTCTATACCCAATAGAAACAATAACAAAATTGTCAAAGAGGAAACAGCCAGCTATGAATGTTACAAGAGAAAGAAAAAAAGAAAGTTCAAAGTAGAATGGCAAGCACCTGTAAGCTGCATCTGCAACTGCAAACGGATGGGGACTCAAATCTCCCAAGGTGGCTCCTTTGTATTGTGCCATCATATGGTCATTGTACAGATCTGGTAGTTGTTTAAATGGGTTTACCGCAATCAAAATACTTCCTGTGTATGTCTAGTAAGCAAAACGAAAATAGGTTTTAGGCCAATTTTACTGAACAGGAAGCAAAACGGCAAACAGAAGGAAGCTCACATAAATTTCGTCTATATAATATCTTGATTTCAAATTTTGTAGGACTCCTGGTTCATGTAAATATGCTAGCGTTGTCATATCGTCAACTCCAGAAGGCGGAACTTCCATATCTTTTGGATGTGTGTTTGAAACTTTGACAACAACCTGAGAAAAATCCAACAGAAGTATGAGAACCAATCTGATTAAATTGTCAGGACAAACATATAACAGGTTCCATCCATAAACATAAGCATAGTGAAAGTGTATCTTAAGTCGGCTATATCATACCGTCTTCCCCGATGTACATTGGACCTTTATATCTTCTCCATTAACCTCGACAACTTCACCATCTATCCATGCCTCCTCCGGATCTTGCACCCAAAGAATGGAGCCAACTCTAACTGTAGAACAAGCCTGAAGAACAACCAACAAATCGAATACATATCATTTAGGAATACAATTCAAAAACTTCAAACTATGTGACAAACCATATAACAATAATACAAGATTGAGAAGACAAAATAACAACTCGTAATCGTTACAAAAACGTACACTTTACGAAAAGGGGAGGACAGAAACAGCATTCAATAGTCTAGTGGAGAGTCTTATTGTCCAAGAACACAAGACCCCACTAACATTTGGGTTTCATAATAAAATGAATTTAATAATAACCAACCATGAAAGCAACAAATGACAAAACCTTAAACATTCATCTCTGTGATAAAACAACAGAGCATAATTAAATGAAGCCCAGAAGAAGCAACGTCACACAAAATTGGAAGAATATAACAAAACAAGATCATTCAATTTGCACTGCACCAACAAATGTAATACATTTGTCGTTTGAAACCAAGAAATATAATAAAAATCAAAACTTTGAGTAAAACGAAACGAAAGAAACGCTCAAAGTGAAATAAAAACGCAGAAAGTGAGAAACCCAGAAATTGGAAGTACCATATTTCACCGGAGATGAAAGAATCAAATCAGAAACCCAAATAGATTCTTTCTCCAGCAGCAAAGAATCATTCACTTGCTTGAGCTCGAGACGAGAGAGTTCTGTATGACTCAAAGAGGAGTGTGAATGCAGAGAAGAGATTCTCCACAGAAGAGATTTGTATCTTATAGAGAGAGTGTGGGATATGTGTGAAAGCTTTAAAATTTTATAAAACCTTTTGGAGAAATAAATAAATTTTAATTTCTTCTCTTTTATCTATTTTCTTCTCTTTTCTTTTAATTTTCTTCTCTCTTTCCACTTCTTGTGAATAAATTAGTCTTCAAGAGTAAATATTAGTTAAAGCTTAATTAACAGTAAATTCCGAAAAATACCCATTTTGCTTTTAGTCTCTTTTGTTATTTTCTACAACTAAAATAAGAGAAATCCAAAATTTAATTTAACAATGTGGAAAATATAAATTTCTTTATTGTTTTTTGTTTCTCTCTATTGCTTCTTTTACTTAAAGTTGCTAACTTTCCCCTTTTACACTCTAACTTATCAAAGTTTATTGTCTATAAACCACTATGTGTAACGTCATATTCACATAGTTGTAATATCATATTTAAGAAGTAGACAAATTAGATATTTCTATATGCTTAATTAGAGTGAAATTTTATATCTATCATAAATATTTGTAGTCAAAAATCTCATTGGACCAGTTAAATGATAACATGTAACTTAACTTTGAGGAAATGTTATATAATATGTTATTTTATAATTACTTACTTAGATAGTTTACTTTTTAATAATTTATCTAATATATTTATAATTTAAAGCAAAAAATGTTATTTAAAAAAATTAGTTAATAATAGTGACAAATAATCAATTTCAAGATAATCTCACCAAAAAAAAAAATCAATTTCAAGATAAAGTTAAAAAACAAAATTAATGGTAATAATGTGGTTGTTAATTTTATATTGGATTAATTAATTTCTACTTTATTATAATTAAATTTAATTAGATTTTCTGTATTTAAAAGACAAAACTTTATGTGCAATTAATTTATGTTGCATTTATCTGACTTACTACTTTATTTAAAAAAGTTTGTCTATTCATTTCCAATAGTCATAAATAAGTGTCTTATTTCATAGTTTATTTTATATAGTATGATATAATTTTCTCTGTACCTACTAAGAGAGTTAGGAACTCATACATTTGATTGATTCCATTATAGAACAGAAGAAGCTAAAGATTGAACATCATGTGCCAAAGTGTCTGGTTAAGGTGGTTTAACTTAAACCACTTGTACTTTGCCTACATAAACCTTCCACGCTTTATATGTACACCAAATTAGGAAAAACTTAACATACCAACAACTGCTAATTAAGCATACAGAGTTTTAACTTTTTAAGTTGGAAAACCATAACAAGTGATTGTAAGTACTTTTGAACATATATTAGTTAAGATATATACTATGATATTAGAATTATACAATAGTTCTAGTATTTGATTTTTATTTTCTTGATTAAATGAGAGATGCGTTGGTGTTGTTGGTTTAATGATTGGACTCTTCTTAAACCAGACTGGGAAGCAAAAATTAAGAGGTTTGTTAACCTTTATGCATGGTACCAAAAGTTCTGAAAGCCGCAGGTGTGTATATATATGATAGACTAGTTAATAAGAGTTTTAATATTTATTTAAAAAGAGTAAGGTCATGAGTTTATATATATTACTATGTTTCTAGCCAATTATTTACATAATTAAATCACAGATTAATTCGCATTAAGGAGACTCATTATTTGTCCTTTTGAGAGTGGTTTCAAGTTGCTTAAAGGAGTGGTTAGCTAACCAAATCACTACTTGGAGACCAAGTCCTTTAGGTACCGTGACTGGTGACCCATGCATGCACGTTTGAGAGTTTGTATTGTGTTTGTAATCTCTTCTCTCTTCTCAGACGTTGTGAAAACCAAATTTTTAGCAATGATAAGATCTCCATTTCCCTAGAAACAATACTGAAAAAAGAAAAGTTTTAAGTCATATAACTAACTCAAACTTTAACAATGGCAAGGGAAATCAAAAAAAAAAGGAAAATAGGATCAGACCATTAGTATCTTCATCTCTGCGATGATTAGCGCTAAGATATCCAAGAATCTCAACACGAAGATGTCATTTTTACCTGACCAAGTTCACTGACTATGTAAAGACCAATGATGCACCCAAGGGGGTAACTTGATTGATAAATAAATGGATGAGAAAGGTGAAAGTAAGCAAAGGAAAAGAGTCAAGCTAAGAGGAGCTATAAGATGGGTTGTTGTAAATCTGATCCACTTTGCTTTGCTTAAAGAGGAGAATGAATTAAAAAAGGATCAAAAATCAATAAAACCCAAAGAAGCAAACAAGAAGAATTTGATCTTAACTAAACAAGAGAATCACTACAGTCCATAAAAACCATCAGAAACAAGGTAGAGACTAGAGAAGTTAGTTAGGCTTGTCGATGAATCCCGTTTGGCGTTTGGCCCCGAAAGAATCCTCAGTAAGCTTTAGAAGATACTCAAGCCTGTCTCGGTTCGGCTTGTCCTTTTTATTTTGCTCCGCCAGATTTGCTAGAGCTTTGGCATCACGAGCACGAGCTGCTATCATCTTACGTTGCCACTTCTGTAAAACTATTTCTTCCTCAGAAGATTCGCTGCTGCTTTCTCCTCCCTCACAACATTTGCTACTCGTTATTCCTCCATTACTTACGCCACGGATCAGTTTCTCGGCGCCGCTCTCACCCTCCTCCATCGCCAACCCAACACACAATTAGGGTTTTCTTCTTTTTCTAGGAAGCCAAAAGAAATATTCATTCTCAGATTTAACATATATGGAAATTTCGATTTTACGAATATTTGTAACAAACAAATTGCCAAAAAAAAAAAAAAAAATCTTTTTTTTTAAAACCTACAAATGATAATTACGACGGTTTACCTTGCATGGTACACAACCACAAAACACAACATCCCTTGTCGTTTTTTTAATTACACCACAATTATGGACTTCTATGTCCAAAATAGTGGGATTGGGGGTATTACATAATGACGACATTTTAGTTCAAAGAACCGGAAACTGAATAACGATTACCAAAAGCCAAAATTCATAGGAACTTGAAACTTATAAACTACAAAAAAAATTAGGTAAATTACTAACTTCACTAAAATGTAAAAAAAGTTTTGGTGGGGGGAAGAAAGAAAAGAGAGAAACTAAATACAGACGTCCTTTTAGAATACAACCCTCCCTCCCTCCTTGTGCTTTTGCATCCTCGCAAAAACAAACAATTAATCTATTTTTGAGGAACACACAACCAAAAATAAAGATCTCCTACAAGAAACCCAACCGGAATGTCTTTACCCAGATCAACCTTACCAAACCGGAACCTAACCATGCAGCTCAAGAGTTGTGTGAGCCTTTTCCACTTTTTTTTTTCTTTTTTTCTTTTTTTCTTTTCTTCTTCACTGTACATTTTTCTGGTTTCTCAGAGCCAGTCGCCATTACCGGACCAGAGATGTCTAGATGACGACGGTCCACCGTGTTCGCTCATGCTTCCTCTCAATCTAAAGAAGTTTCTTCTACTACGCATGGGTCGTAATGGACCCGATCTGTTTGGTAGAAAAAGCCCTCCTTCTCTTGGAATGCTAGACGCTGAATGAGGCCGGTTCTCCATGTCCTCTAATGGTCCTGAGCTATATTCCATGGTTATGAACGACGAAGCTTGACCATACCTTAACCGAGGTGTCAAATTCCACCAGCTGCTATCTGAAGGAGCCAGATCGCCTTTGAAGTCTGCAGAGTCTGGTACTGATGAGTCCTTTTGGCTGCAATAGTCACCACATGTCTCATCTGCATCGTTGTATATAAGTTTCAGTGCCTGAACAACTTCCCCCATGAACGGTCTGTGTGAGACCTCTTGGTGGACGCACATGGAGGCAATCGCAGCCACTTTCGCCATGTCATCAAAGTTGTAGGTTCCAGCCAATGCAGGGTCCACCAGTTGCTCCAGGCCCTCTCTGTTGGCTAGTAAGGGTCTCGCCCATGTCACAAGGTTTTCTTCTCCTGAAGGTTGAGACATGTCTACCGGTCTTCTACCAGTGAGGAGCTCGAGTAGAACCACACCGTAACTATAGACATCGCTTTTAACAAGGAGATGCCCCGTCATTGCGTACTCAGGAGCCACGTACCTGCAATTATTTCCAGGGTAGTCACTGTAAGTCCACCATCTAACCAGGGTGTCTGTATTAATCACATTTGAGATAGAACGGGATTTTACCCAAAGGTCCCCATGACTCGAGTTGAAATATGTTGACTTCCTTCCGTTGCTTCTCTTGCCAGGCCAAAGTCAGAGACTTTTGGGGTAAAGTCAGCTTCTAGGAGAACATTGCTAGCTTTGAAATCACGGTGGATTACTCGGGGATTTGAATCTTCATGGAGATAAGCCAGTCCTCTCGCTGCTCCAAGTGCAATCTTCAACCGTGCATCCCAATCAAGTGTTCCTTCTGTTTTGTCAACAACAGAAAAACCAGGATTTAGGAGGTGATGCAATGAGAAGTGATTGATATAGTTGGGATGTATTGTTATTAAAAAGTGCAGAGAACAGTATATGTCACCGTGCAAGTGGGACTCAACACTCCCATTGTGGACAAGCTCATAAATCAAGCAGCGTGTGCGGCCTTCAATGCATATTCCAATCAGTTTCACAAGATTACGGTGGTGCAAACGGCTTAGCATCTCGACTTCTGCAATAAATTCCCGGTCTCGGTTCTGATTGTCCCTAGTTAGCAGTTTCACTGCAACCTCGGTTCCATCTTCCATGCTCCCCTGATAAACACGACCAAATCCACCCTCGCCCAAAACCCTCTTTGCACTGAATCTATCAGTTGCCTTCTCAAGCTCAGAGAGTGTAAAGGTCTTAACGGATAAAGCACATGTAGCCATAGAAGACATCAAAGAATCTGATCCTGAGCTTCTGGCGCTACTAGAAAACATAGATCCAGCACCTGCAAGGTGTATAAATATTTCAGAAAAAAATTCTCTTAAAGCTACTGGTGCGTTATAGAGTCAGAGGGAGAAAATTACCAGGCCTTTTGTTAATTGATGGAGCCAAAGTTGGGCCAACAGCATTAGATGACTTCCCAATTTTCTTCCATTTCACGATTATAGATATAGATCCAACCAAAACCAGAATGACCACGAAACCTGACAACGCAATGATTGCAATCGTTCTAAAACCTATTCCCTGGCTTTTGTTGGCAAAGTTTGCAGTGATTGGAAGCCGCGGACTTGCACTTGGAGCCTCTCCTGTAGAATCTCCATTTGGCGAAGAAGAAGGAATTCCTGAAGCAAAGTTAAGAGATTCAAACTTTGAAATGAAAAAAAAAAAAAGAAAAAAAAAAGCTAGAAATTTGCATCTGAAAGAAATCAGTTTACCGGGATAACTTATGTGTGTAACCTCATAATCACCAAAAAGAGTATCATTTAGAGGTATTTTCTTGTGCCGGAACCTCTGATAAATAAGAGTTGCTGTGGTGTTGTCGAACTTTTCCCCTAGTGGAACTAGGTTAATATCCACCACAGTTTTCCCTTGATTTTCACTGTCGGCACTGGCACCCATTATTTTAACTTGGCTTTGTTCCAAGTATGTTCCAGCAGCAACCTCAATTTCTAACTGGTTGGTCACGGGGAAAATAGAAAAAGGCGCAACACTTAGTAGAAGCTGAACTTTCATGGGGAAGACACAACCACAAGGTGAACCAAAGGGAGTTGAAGTGAGAGGCTCCACACATGTCTGCTGACAATCTATCAAAAAGGAAAGCCGGAAACACACAGAAAAAAGTAGTTACTACGCTTGATCTATCAACTATCGTCTGGACAAAGAAGTATGCATATAAAAGATAATCTTGCCACTGGCACAGGACGAAAGATAATCAACAAGCAGAAAATTACCATGTGACGAAGGTGAAACTGCAGTCACATTGCGTCTTAAATGCCAGCGACGATGACGATGATGACCCTTGCGCCTTTCTGGTCGAATGCGGCTTGGGTAGGGGGGGAAATCTGAAAATGAAAAGAAAATGACCAATGAATTGGATACTCCTATACAGAAACATAATTACAATATGTTGATGTGACAAAAAGGACTCCTTGCTAACCTGGTGAAGGTGCAGGAGCAACTGATGGATTAAGATGAGGATGAAAAAAATGCATTTGATGGGACTTTGATCGGGTAAATGGCAAGCTCATTGGAAACAGCCGAGCTGCAAATGATAGAACAAGCTGATAAATCATCTACAGAGTCTTTCTATACATGTCGAATATTCATAGCAGCTAATACTTCCGGAGAATAGAATGATACATACTCCATCCTCTCTTGGATATAAAAGTACAATGCCTAAGTTAAAGAGAATGTCACACAAAATCGATAATTCCTCAAGATACTCAAAAAGTAAATAAATAAGGCGCTATGTGCATTCTTAGCTAATTAAGGTTGGGTGCCAAATAAGGCACAAAACGTGGGACTTCATCGTGACTCGTACGCTTCACAATCACAGATTCCAAACATAATTAATCTAAATCGTACCATTAAACCCTTTTGCTTACTTTGTACATAATAAAGTTAGCTTCTAAATATATCCAATAAACAATTCTAAATATAGATAAACACCAACTAATCTTGAGCTGTCTAAGTAAGAGCAAAAGAAATAAAAATAAAAAGAAGACTTAGCTAAGGTTAATTTCTCCTAATCTCACTGGGTTCCTAATTTTTGTTCACCAAGCAAACGCATCAAAAGGGGTAAAAAGAATCAGTAAACCTAGTTCATACCAAAGCATATAGGAAACGAGCTCAGAGAGTGAAGAAGAAGAATTAACAGCAGAAGCATCGCAAAGTTCCGCATCTTATCTCAACTCATAAAACAACCATTCGTCAGCAACGGAGACACAAAACCTTCACAGCGTCGCCGGACACTCTCCGCCGAAGCATAACCAGAACCAAACGTCTAACCATAACTTGGTCAAAGCTCCAAAGACATTGATTTCTCCCCTCCTCCCAAAACCCTAGGGTTACACAATAGCGAGTAGGTTTTAACGCGATTTGCACAGATCCACGAAATGCGGCTCGAGATCTGTACAGAGCAGGAAACAGAGCTTCTCAGACGATACAGAGAATGAGAGCTTCTCCGACGAAGGTATCACAGAGTGGTAGAGAGAAGAGAAGAGAAGAGAAGAGAGTAAAGTGAATTCGAAACCAGAAGAAGAGAAGAGTAGAGAGAGAGAGAGAGAGAGAGAGAGAATTAAATGCTGATGGTGGGAAGGGCCAAGGGGGGCGTAGGGTAGTGTGCTGCCGTAGTGAGACTGCTTTCGGAGAAAGGAAAAAAAAAGGCGATGATGATGGCATTAGCTCATTCTTACGCGCTTTTGTTTGCGCGTGTTCTCTACACTCCTCGAAACGACAAAACTGGTGGCCGTTTGCTACCGTCACATCGTCAAAACCGTTTCTTTTTTGGGCGTTAGCTGCCTTATTGGGCCGGGCTTTACTTCAATCTTATATACACAAATCAAACAAAAAACGTACCCAAGCATAGTTTGGGATTCTCAAGAAGGAAATTTCGTATATTCTTAAGAAGATTCATCAGTTTCTTTTATTTCAATTGTAGGAAGTTTTTCTATAACTTTAGGAAGGAGTATATTTTACCCAAAATATTACAATGTCTTCTAGTAACAGTTCTATAGAAGTCAAAACTGATATATGTCACAATTGACAAAAAAGGTACTTTTTAACTGAAATTTTCTGACGTACTAGTAGTAGTAGGCAGCTAGTTAATGATACACACAAACGTAGTTATTATAAGATGAAGCATCTACTCACTCAATTTATCAGTGAAGAATGTTAACCTACGGATGAAGAAGATACAGACTACAATTATGTTTCAATCATTCAAGAAGGTTTCAAAATCAAATGACAACGTATCAACATAGTCTTGACTTACCGGTTCTGGCAAAGGACTAACCGGCCCGGGCTGGTTAGAATTGTCCATTAGCCAGCTCTCAAATTCCGATAGTTTGGTCTCCAAGACGTTTTCATTAATCCCTTGTTTCTCCTGTACCCTCGTTGTTTGCGAATCTGCATTAGTAGTAAGAGGAGCCTCAGACGGAGCACACAGATCCACATTTGTCTGATACTCACTACCATGTATGTTCTGGTCTGAATGTCTACTGTACATATTGCTCTGAGAACCCGGTAGCGCTGTGCATTGATCACTAACACTGGGCTGATACTTGTGTTGTTGAGTGTACATTTCCGTGCTTATTGTGGGTGCCACTACGGAAGGGCTATGGTGGCTGGATTGTGAAACTTGAGCATTGCTACATCGGATGCTGTTAATATTTCCCACAGAAGAGGCTACTCGGGATCGTAGGCTGAACCTATAAGAACTTCTATCCTTTTGGATCACGTTGTTGCGAACATTGGTCAGTGACTGAGCTGGCCGATCCTGCAACCCATGATTGTGTGGATTTGGTTGCCTGATTCTATGCCTGGCTTTGACGTTTAAGGGATCAAAAACATTGGTAGATGATGAGCAAGGCCGGATCACAACCTGGTTCCGAAGTGAAGCGTTTTGGGATACCCGTAAGATACTTGGAGTAGGTTTTGTAGATGGTGAGGTAGGCATGCATCCCGTCCTGAAGTATTCTCGTTGATTCTTCCATATCTTCTCTTTATCATTAGCATGACAATGCTCAATGGTGGAGACACCGATAGACCAGTATGGACATGGAGCACGGATGTCGCACACATAACAGTGACACTTGAAAGTGAAACCAAATAAAAGTAAATAAGTAAGGATTCAGCCAGGAAAAGGAAATATTAAAGCTCAGTGCAGAATTAGAGTCTTCAGATGCTTACCATGTCGCAGTACTTCTCATGTGATGTTGAGTTGAACGCGTACTTAGCACAAGAATGTCGAGGATGAGGGAAATCTCTACATGCTATCTACAAAACAAAAATTTATTTCCTTTTTGATATCAGGGAAACTTAAAACTGTACAACACCTGCATAAAGATGGAAGTCACCAAAAAAAACAATTCAATGATACAATGATTAGTATACAACAACACCAAAGCAGTCCAATGACCAAACCATTCCCCAAAACAGCTCTCTCAGACAAGAAGAAGGCCTAAAAATTCTTATACTAATGAAATAAACAATCAACCATTGTCATGAAATCACCAAGCCTAATAGCTAAACAACACCAACGCATACAGAATCTCTAGATTTCAGACCAATTTGATTGAAAATGAGAAGGGTCAAGTGGAATTATCTTATACCTCACCCTTTTGACCAACTACAAGCACATCATCATCGTCATCATCATCATCATCATCATCATCATCATTCTTGGCCAATTTATCATCAACAGAAGCAGCCTTGGTCGACTTGTCGGGATCACAATCCAAAATCACACAATCGTCATCATCATCCTTAGCTTGATTCGACGAGTTTGGCTTCCGATACTGAGAATCAACGCAACCTTTCACCTCAGAGAGAATCTCGACAATATCGGTACTGTCCGATGTATCATCGACGGAGTCCATAACACCGTTAAGCCAATTGAAGTACTCTTTATCTACTCCTCCTGTACTGATCTCATCCTCGTCTGAACTGATATCGACAACAAAAACATGATGATCATCTCCCGAACCCATTGAGCGAATTTTCGAAACCGGATCACAAAAATTTCTTGAAAATGATGAGCGAAACTCGAAGCGATTTCGAAATAAGAACACAGGGATCAGAAGGCATGTGAGAACACCGAGAATTCGATAAATTCACAGACTTTTAAGAATGATCAGAAAAAAGACTTGGTCTTTTCAACTACCCGGGAAAAAAATTGAGGTTGTAATAGGAAAGAAAGAAAGAAGCATTGAAATGGAAACTTCGAGCAAAGAAATTAGGGTTTGGTTTGGACAAAAGCAGATAAATGGCACTGGTGGGTGAGTGACGATGAATGACGAGTTTTGCTCGGCTAAACGTCAATGGTGGAAATGATTGGCCTATTGGGCCTTAACCCAATCAAGACAAATTGGGCTGGTGATGAAGATTAATGGAATTTTATGTTTTTCCCATATATTGTTTTTGGTTGATTAATCAAATTCTTCTTTAACATTTCGTTTATATTAAAATCTTATATTATATGGTTGTGTTTGGTGAAGATTGACTAAAAAAGATTCCCAAGATCCACATTTGTTTGCTCGAAATCCCAAAATCAAACACTTCAAATTAGTAATCGTAGTCCACTAATCACCAAAACTTAGTCTGCATAATCGTGATCCACTGGAAAGAAAAAATTGGAAAATGTTGGAATGAATTAATGGGAAATCTGTTAATTGGGCCAAAACCTAATTGATTTACCTGGTAATAAAAAATGCAGACTATCGAACTACCTCTGACATTAGTCGGAAAGCATTCCAAACTCCGGATAAACAGTATAGTGGTCCCTTGAGAAAAAATCCACTTTGAAATACTTCGATGCGGTTTCACCAAAGCTGACCAAATCGATCGATAGGATTTAAAAAAAAAAAAAAAAAAAAAAAAAAAAAAACTGATGGCATGTACGTGATGCACCAACGACTATTGATAGAAAAAGCGTAATATTGGTCGCTGTCTTTGACCGCTATTGACATTTGACACCACTAGCTAACAACAAAACTCGTTTAATGTATTCATTCATATAGTTTGGGTGCAGAGAAAAACAAGAAACAAATTCTATATTTGTATTGAAAAGATTAAATAAGATAACATCAAAACAAATCTTTTGCATTTGTAAGTAATAAGGATTAAGGACTAAGGAGTGATTAAAAAGGGATGAGATGTTTAAGAGATACAAATCCCGAGAGCAAAAGTGGTGGGCAAAGAGCATGTGCGACCTCAGGCCTCCTCTCTTCTACAACGGTATAAATGCCTCAGCTTCCGCATCATCCTTATAAATATATCCCACCGTTTAGCGTGTTATGTGCACGTTCTAAATCCAAAACAAACCTACATGAGAAGATGAAACAGTAAAAAAAACAAAAAGTTACATTTAACATTTTGGTTCTTTCTTTCTCATCCTCCTTTTCACAAAATTGTGCATCGACTTCCATAACTCTTATATTACGTTTGAACAAGTCGAGCCTATTAAGAAATAATCAGTATTTATATTGGATTGAAGAACAAAAATCAAAACCTTTTATGAACTTTCTTTCTTTGTTTGTTTGTTTATTGAGGTCAAAAGGAATATCCCGTAACAGTCAAATCCAACGGCTGAGATCAAAGGGAAGACTGTAGCGCGTGAGAGAGACATCGAAACCAATATCTGTATCTGTACTCTCTGTTCAGCCCGTTTGGTTCGGTAAAGCGCTACCGCACGTTCAAAGTCAAATCCCAAGTTTCAACGTTTATTACATAAGCTTAGCAACCTCTTTGTTTTTTATTTTGTCGGCCTAGCACCTCTTAATTTTAGCTATTTTTTTATAAATTGGTGAGCAAACTTTTAATTATTGGAAGTTTAACCCAAACTCTAACATATCGGTCCATGATAATTTCAAAACTTTTGGATGGTTTTGAAAAACCAATTTTCTTGTTGTTGTCGTTGGCATTCCTTCTTTTCTTTGGATGGTTTATTTTGGTAAACTGGTATAGCATAAAGTAAAAATTTGATATTTTATTTGAAACAAAATAGAAATACAATAATTCTAAATTGATCTTTGATTTAGCTGGTTTCCAATACATGGTTATAAATGTTAGTTAAGCCAAGAACAAATGATTTCCTGCTTACTAATATAATAGAAACACATTTTTGACATATAGACTATTTTCTGAATCGTCATATATTCAATAAAGAATATAAAACATTAGTTTTCGATCAAAACAAGCAATTTGATTGGTCGTAATTCTTATGACTTTCATTCTTTCCTATCGATGCTCTTTTTGCTAAAAGAAAAACAATATTAGAACTACAAAATTTTCCCAAATTAGCATATTGAGTTACACAAAAATAAATGTTAAGAATATTTTGTATAATAAATGAAAATGTAGATTTGGTCATAAACACAAAAGAATATTATATCAAATCATTTTCATTAGTTTTTAGGTGTTAGGTGTGAATTCTCTATATCTAGAAATGTTACAATTGGGCTAGTGTTGTGTTTTCTATTTATCTATTTCATAATCCAATGTTCTTCTAATATACTACTACTATTTTTAGTTACGATATCTCTGCCTTATAAAAAATTATAGATTTTTCAATAGTTTTTCTACTTTTGACAAAGCAGAAAAACAAAAAAAAATTCAAAGGTCTGCAGAGGAGGAGTAAATTGGATAAATTGTGTTTTTTTTTGGTCGTGATTATGTTAAGTGAGTAGTAATGAAGAGATAAAAACAAGTCAAATAAATCAACAAATTTGGGGTTGTGTTCAGACTTTTTTTGCTCATAAACATGAAGGCCACGTTTAGTAGAGTTAAAGGAAAAAAAACGTGAGGGGGAAAGAGAAAAGAGAAAAGAGAAAAGAGAAGAGAAGCAGGGGTTAAAAAGGCAAATAATGAAAAGATATGTATACAATAGCTTAAGCAGCCTGCCTGAGAGAGGAAGAAGATGTTTCTTCTCCTCCTGGTCTCAAGTTTAACCTCTCCTCTCCCCTTATTCGTAAAAATTCTATTTTTAGTACAAAACTTTACTCACCTGTCTTTTTCGACCCCCCCAATCAAAAAGGAAGAAAACATTACTACAATTTAGTCAAAATATCCCACTTTTGTTTTTGTTTTTGTTGTAATCATCTTCTAAGTTCTTCTTCTTCCTTCTTCTTTCTCTCTCCCCTCTAATAATAATCTTTCTTCTTCATTCACCTTCTCTCGCATTCATTTCGTTCCCTCCAGAATCCAAGCTTCCGTTACAATCTCTCTCTCTCTCTCTCCCTTTAATTTTTTTGGATTTTTCTTCGTTTTGAATTCTCAATAAAAGTAAATAAAATAAAAATTCCCCTACCAGGAGGACTAGCTTTGATTTTGCTGGAGGTATCTTTTCTTCTTAATTTCGTGGATTCGAAAGTTTTATAGCCCTTTGTTTCTTTTTAATTCACATACAGGGCTCGTCGAACCTTGAATTCGTTTTTTTTTTTTTTTTTTGTTGAATTTTTTGCTGATGGTCTTCAACTCTTCTTGGAAATTTAGGGTTTCGTTATAAATTAAGGATTGGTGATTGGTTTATGAAGATCGTAAGGTTGTTCAAGTTCCAATACGATTTTTAATCTCTTGTTTTGTTTTTGTTTTAAGTTTTATCTTGTCTGATTTTGTTTGTTTGTTTGATGTCTTTAGGATAAAATATTGAGGTATATATGGTAGTTGTTGTTGTTGGCTTTGCTCATGTTGTGTGAGGGGAGGTAGGAGTGCTGTGTGAAGCCGGAATATGCAGGGAGACGTGTTGGCTGTTCATCGGGGAGATCGAAATAGAGATGATATTTTAGGATACATGAAGAACACGGATGTAGAAGCTTTTAGGGATGCAGATGGCAATGATGATAATGGGTGGAGGACGTTGAGTAGGAGGGATGACCACAAGGAAGGTAGGTTGCTGACAGATGAGGAAGTGGATACATCTGTATCGGTAAGTAGAGAAGAAGACGTGGGCACCTCGAGGAGTGAAATACATGTTATGGAGGAAATAGATGATGATGGGAGTCCTGTCACGAGTGGAAGAGATGGAGAAAACGATGAATGGAGTAACTGTGGAAAAGAGGATGAACGGATTGCATCTTGGAAACATGATAGTTTGAAATCTAGCAATGAACAAGAAGTTGAGTGTTGCTCACCTGAGAGCGTTGGGAGTGAAGACAGACATGAGACTTTGGGAAAGGTAGATAAGGATAATCACCAAGCTGTGTTAGAGAGAGATGAAAAGGTACTCGGTTCTGTATCAAGGAATATTGAAGAATCTGCTTCATGTTCACCTGAGAGGGATGACGAGGCTCTTAGTATAGAGATTAAAGAACGGGATACAGAAGTGGCTAATGGTCAAGCTAAAGCAGATGAACTCCTTCATCTGAAGGTGGGCGATACCGAAGAAGCTGCAGGAATATGTAATAGAGGTGGTAATAAGGATGAGAACAGATTGTTGGAAAAAAATAGCGAAGATGATTCGAGTTTGATGCTGAGGGAAAATGATGATGAACCGCAGAGTCCAAGATGCGAGGCACAACTTAATGACACAAGCATTAGAAAGATGGAAATGAGAGAAGTTACAGGAGAGCAGGACTCTTCGCCATGTACTGCTGATGCAGTTAAAGTAGCTGGAGAGACATATCAAAACGTATACTTCAATGGACCAGTCTTACCGCAGTCACCTACACAAGGGCATAGGCGCGCCCAAAGTGAGATAGGGACTATAGGGACTCCTGGACACAGACGCACAAACAGTTTCCAGAGATTGAAAACACAGATGCAAAAGGCTTGGCGTGGGGTCAGCAATCTACGTGAGGATAACCGGCCCACTTTCAATCCTGAGGTCCTAGCAAACCAAAAAAGACAGTGGTACCAGCTTCACTCTTCAAAAGCTCTGGTATTCAATCTCTCTAGGGTGTCCTGTCAAACATTTGAAACACGTTTTTGTCTATGTAGTTCTTCTCCTTATTGTCTAAAAATACTGGTCCTGCATAGCATATTAGCTGACTAATACTTTCCATTTGTCAAATTCTCTAGGATCAAGCAAAATTAAAGGAACCAACGTCACTATTTGAACATTTTATCATTGTGGGGCTTCATCCGGAAACGAATTTGAAGCCAGTGGAAGAGGCTTTCCGTAGAAGAAAAAAATGGGAGATGGAGATGTCAAGGTATGAAGTGGCAGACTACAGAATACTCCGTCACCGTGGGCCTCAGTTTCCAGTATTGGAGCCACAGGTTTGTGTTACCTTGATTTTTTCTCTGAGTTCACATAATTTTGGCATGCTTAGATATGTAACATGAGACACATATTCTGTTTTATTTTGGTCTCGTTGTCTACTATGTTATATGCGTTTGTTCTGCTTCATGGCAGATTTAGTTGGCTTCTTTCTTCTCTTTATCGACTTCCATTCCATGCGCAGATTCTTTTTAAATACCCTCCTGGGAAGAAGGTGGCGATGCGTCCAAAGGATCTAGCAACTTTCTGTTTCCCTGGTGGTGTCAAGGTATGATATGTTTGGTGTGCATCTTTATATTGTTTTAGTGACCGTCAACGTGCATTGGTATATCATTAGTTATGAACCACGTCAGTTAATTAGAGAATTAACATAGAATTGATTCGTACTACTGGTAATAATATTCATCATGTATAGTTGGTATCATTGGGTTATGTGATATATGCAGCAACTAAGACAGTTAAAACATGATATTTCTTAACAGGCACGACTTTTGGAGAGGACCCCATCTCTCAGTGATCTAAATGAGCTCGTATATGGACAGGTCTGAAAATTGTTCTAAATAGAATACCTGTATGAGCTTTTGTAGTTCATCTATGTTAGTTTGGAATATAGGTTTACATATCATACTTTTGAGTTCACTGCAGGAACATTTAGGCACAGATGATTCATCGTTCATATTTTCGTTCAAGGTAATCTATAGTTTCTTTTTATCCCTCTCTAAATTTTTTAGTGTCAGACATCCACTAGTCATGTAACATGAGGCAATCCAATTCTCTGTCAGGTAGCAGATGATGCGACATTGTATGGTGTTTGCTTACATGTGTCGGAGATTGTTCAGAGACCCCCTGGTGTATTAAGCACTGCGTCACCCTTGCATTCATCTGGAGGAGGCAGTCGTTTTTTGGTTTCTGCACCTCGATGCTATTGCTTGCTGACCAGAGTTCCTTTTTTTGAACTACACTTTGAGATGTTAAACAGGTACTTACGATGACATTCTCTTACTCTGAGTAGTGGCTTTTCCCTGCATCAAGGTCTATGCTGATGTTAAGGTCATTCACATGTTGATGCAGTATGATTGCACAGGAGCGTCTAAAACGGATAACCGAGTTTGTTAGTGAGATGTCTCTTGCTGCTGCATGCTATCGTCCATCAATTTCCAGGATGAATGATCAAATCGATGGGCGTGTTTCTTCACCTCGTAGCAACCCTGATGACTGGATGGCTTCTGCAATACCTGTTGATGGAGTCATGGCACTCACAGCTGCTGCTGCTGGATTGATATCTGATAGTGACCTTGCAAACTTTGCAGAACCTCAGTCTCCAGATAGTGTTGTCACCAGCGATACTTCAGATGTAAGCCAGATCAAGGAAATAGAAAGAGACGGGAGAAAAGTTTTCCATTGTTACGATGATAATTCTTCTGAAGTATTTGAGAACCACTTGGATACCCCCGAAAAAACGTCCCAGAGCTATGAGAATGGCCACACTTCTCCAGAGGTTACATGTGTTGATCCTAGGACCCAACCGATAGAGCGTAATGAAAGCTGTGAGTCTGTGTTCAGGTAATTTAACAACACAAACTCCTTATTTTAGGAAATCTTGTCAAGTAATGTAGTTGTCATTTTTCCAATTAATGTTATTATTCAGTTTATTGCCAGTATAATTTCAGATTTACATTTTTATATATGGCAGTTCAGCTAGAAGTGTGTTGTCAGATGACATTGATGATTTATCAAATAGTGAAAATGATTTCGGAGATGATTTAATACTGGAATGGGCTAAGGTAAGGAGATCACAAGCAGCTTCACCATTTAGTTGCTCTATCATCTCTTCTTCATTATTTCTCATATACTGTCATATGGTGTCTCACCTTGATAGGAACACAACAATGATTCGTTACAGTTAGTTTGCGGCTACCACTCATTGGCAATTCCTTCCCGTGGAAGTGAAGTAGTTTTCCACCCACTGGAACATTTACAATCCATCGCGTATACCCGTCCTCCAGTTTCAGCTCTAGGATTGTCAGAAGAATATATTTGCTCTTCTAATTCTTCCGAGGTATATTTAATATTGGACAATATCCTTTGTAGTATTGTCTCTACTTTATAATCTTATCTCAGTCTCTTTTCTTCTTCGTTTGCCAAAGATAAATGCAAGGTTGACAGCTGCTGAGGAGGCCATGGGTCTCTCAATGTGGACAACAGCAACAGTTTGTCGTATTCTCTCTCTTGAAACTGTATGGCCTCTTCTTCTTAGCATCTTTTTTTCTTTTCTTTTGCTTGTTCTGTTTCAGTGTAGAACAACCTATCGATAAAATTCCTACTATTTTGCGGTGGATGTCCATCTCTTCTCTGTGCCTTGAGTTAGTGTTTTCACTAGTAACAAATATCTGAAGATACAAAGTATTTTCTTCCATCCAGATTATGTCACTCCTTGCTGGAGTATTATTGGAGAAGCAGATTGTTGTAATCTGCCCAAATCTGGTTAGTTAAATCTATCATCTGATCGTTATTCAAATGGAAATGGTCATCTGAACTGACTGATAACTATTGTAGGGGGTATTGTCAGCAATAGTACTGTCTCTTGTACCAATGATTAGGCCATTTCAGTGGCAGAGTTTATTGCTTCCGGTAAGCATGACATTACTAGAAAAACAGTTGACCAATCGAATTGTGGTTTTCTTGTCGTAACTTCTCTCTGTTGTCTTCAGGTTCTGCCTGGAAGGATGTTTGATTTCCTCGAGGCACCAGTTCCCTTCCTTGTAAGTTTATATTCCATATGAAGTACCTTGTTTGTTGTCTTGAAAAGCTAAATGATTACTTATTCTGAGGAGCTGAATAAACCATAAAATCCCGGATTTAGTCCATGTTGCATTGTCAATCATTAACTATGTATGTTTCTTGTTGCTCACATGGTCTGCATTTGCGCAGGTCGGTATACACAGTAAACCTATTGATTGGAAGGTCAAAACGTCTAATCTTATTCTAGTTAACATCCTCAACAATCAGGTTTGGTGGCCATATCATGATGAAATTTTTTTATCTATTTCTTTCTAGTCAGCACCCAAAACCAATGAAATCTACAATTCTCAAGGCATGTAACATTTTTACTATGTTTTTCAGGTGAAAATATGCAATATGCCAGCATTGCCTCAGTGTAGAGAACTTATGGCTCAGTTGGCTCCAATCCATGCCACACTGGCTCAGCAGAGCTCGAATGCTAGAAGACATCCGGTTTATAAATGCAATGAAGTGCAAGTAAGTAGTTACCATTGCATGGCCTAAAATTGTACCAAAACTTAAATTACCTAACTCGAATTCATATGATCGACTAATTCTCAGGCAGAAGCCGCGACGAAATTCTTGAGAGTAATGGCAGATTACATGGAGTCTCTTTGCTCAGATTTACACTCTCACACCATAACAAGTGTTCAATCTAATAGCGACAGGGTACTTACTTATAAGTGACTTTCCTCAGAGCTACTTCTTCTCTATCTCCAACTACCTAACTGAATCTTTCTTTCTCAGGTTTCTCTACTCCTAAAGGACAGTTTTATTGATTCATTTCCTGGTAGAGACAGACCCTTCATTAAGGTACAAAATCCTAATCCTCACCATGGCTTCAGTTTTCGATAATCTCACTGGAATCCAGAGACTTACAGACTCTAATTTTTGTTTTTTCTTTTGTTATTCTGGGTTTTGCAGTTATTTGTAGACACGCAACTATTTAGTGTTTTATCAGATTCACGACTATCGAGCTTTGAGAACGGGCGTCGCTGAAGCTCATTTTGTCATCAAGAAACCATCCAAAGTCCAAACATAAGAAAACAAGCAAAAAAAAGCAACAGAGGGTAACTTTTCTACCCTTTATACGCAGAGAGAGAAGACTTAACAGGTGATGATGAATACAAGATGTTTACTCACATGTTACTGTAGTAGAAAAGTAAGGAAACGAGAGAACAGAGACATGCTTATCGTGTCTGGATCTCTGATCCTTATTATCATTACCAAACACTTGTTTGAAAACTTCTTTTCTGCTCTTGTAAATTAATCACCTCTCAATAGAAAGCTTTAAGCTTTTGTTTGTGAAAGTTGTACAGAACACTTGAAAACCCTTTTTTGCTTAATTCAAGTGCTTGATTTCATGTTTCACAATGATTGTGAGAATAAATCAGTTTATACTTTCTCTTCAGTATGGAGAATGGACAATACTGTTTTGCATTTTTATTTAATCCATTTTTTAAAGGTAAAACTCCGTGAACAAAACAATACTTCAACCGCAAATAGCAGTTCAATATGCGATTCTTTGACCAAAAACGCTGTTCCACAAATCTTTCTCCAAATCTAAGCTCTAAGAATGGCGTTCCGGACTAAGTATGTTTTTTTTGTTCTTGTTCTACAGTGCCATGATTTGATCATTATACAGGATACATGGAAATGGTCGTTGAGAAAAGTGTGAGTATTATGGAAACACTAACTATTTTTTGGTGTCACCTTCTTCTTCTTCGTCATCAGATTTAGCGAAGATGGTCTTAGGCTGGGTCTGAGAGTAAGCAGGGGCAATAAACTTAGGATCATTTACAGCAACCTCGGCGTATTTCAATATTGCTTCTCTTGGATCTTCTTCCATCCACGTCTCTTTTATCATCCCACCTTGCTGCAAACACACACGCAACAACAACAACAACAATATTTAAATACACAGATAAACCGGATCGCAAAATCAAAGAAGATACTGAGACTCCTTACCTTGAGAAGATATTGTGTTAATAAGCCACTACCAGTAGTCCCAACTCTTCCACCATGACCAGGACCTGACATGGGAACCTCAGGCTTGTGGGATTTAATAGGATCCTTCAATGCTTTCTCTCTTTGACGTTTACGGCTTGGTGCGTCTCTGAACAATGGTAATGCATGAGGGTTGTGAATTACTGGTTCTGGTTGGTAATCGTCAATAGATTTCTTCCTTGGTGCACGTGCAACACAGACGCACGCGCCTCTCTCACTCTGGGTTGGATCGTAAAGGATGTGAGTTCCACCTTGGCTTTTGTCTCCAGATGTTGCAAATATCTACAGCAATAGAGGAAATCAGATGTGAAGTTGAGGATTAAATTTAGAGCAAGGGAACAGTGCTTTTATTGTTGTTGATCTTTACCTGATTCAACCTTGGGTGCCAAGCACATTGCACCACACTGCAAGTTGGAGAGATTCCGACTTTTTGAACAATCTCCAGTTTAGAGCGATCGTAGAAGCAGAGCAAGCCTCCTGTTGTGCTGTCTTTCTCAACGGATGTTCCAGTCAGAATGATTTGTTCGTCTGGACTAAAGGCTACGTTGGTTTGGGGATAATTATTAGGGAGACCCTCGAAAGCTTTTAGAGCTTCTTTCATCTGCCGCAAGTCCCAAACCTGATCAAAATTCGAAAGAAAAGTTCAGTGTCTTAGCAAATTGGTCAAAATACCAAACTGGTCAAAAACAGGATATGATCTAAGGTATACCTTTAGAGAACCATCAAAACTCCTTGATAACAGGATTCTCCCATCACTAGAGAACTTTACAGAGGTTATATCATCAGTGTGGGCCTTCCCTACGTATATATCTGGCCGGCTTCCCCATCCTGGTTTGAGACTCCAAATCTGGATCCAAAAATAGAAGAAAGATATAAGACCATTAATCAAGCCAAATTACATTGTAACAGTATAAGACTATATAAAACACAAACTTTCCCTGACAAAATGTAATCAGGAAATCAAAACAAGCATTTCCAATCATTACCTGTATAGATCCATCTCCTACGCCACCGGCGATACGCTTTCCATCACGGTCCCAAGCACAGGTTGTAACTGGAACCCTCCCTGGTCTGGCAAGCTTCGGCTTTATAACCTGTTCCAATAAACAGTTAATACCACTTGCATGCTAGAATCAAACCACCAAGTTCATTTGAGAAGCGTTGCAAATAAGAAACTATAAATGTGAATATAGACAGGTAAAAAGTACCTGCGTTTGGCTTAGGAAGTTATTAACATCCCATATACGCAAAGAACCGTCTTCCGACGACGTCAGAACCGTTTCCTTAGTCCTAGGATGCCATTCTCCGCAAGTCAACCCACAAATATGGCCCTTAGTGTTCTTCAGGTCACGAATATACATATCTCCTTTCATAAACTCACCAAGAGTAAGACCATCTCGATCATAAATCTAAAATTCAAAAGAAGAAACGAGAGTCAGCGATTCATAGATGATTAAGAATTGTAGTAAAGGGTCAAGAGGAAACGACTTGAGGAAGCACATATACCTTAGCTTGTGCTGAACCAGTAACACATAGAAATTGACCAGAAGTGGGACTCCAGCTCAAGCTGCGAACTTGGTGACCTTCAGATGGTTCGATTTGCCTAAAAGACTGAAGTCTAGAATTCATCCCTTGGAAATCGAACATGCGCACAGTGTAGTCATAGCTTCCCGAAAGAACCCTAGCTCCAGCACTATCAACAGCTAGAGATGATACAATCTGATTTCACGAAACAAACATTTTGTTCAATTTTTCGAATTCAAAATCTCCATCAAAGTACTTCAAACAAGAGTTTATAGATTGTTTACTATACCTTAGTATGTCCCTTGAGTTGAATCTCGTTGCTCAGTGGAATTCGGTAACGATTCTCCTCGTCGTCGTTAGCATCATCGTCATCTGAATCTTCATCCGAATCTACAGCAGCCGGGGGCGGCGGCGGAGGACCGATCATATCCTCTTCATCATCAGATTCATTACTGTTCCCGAGTCCCTTTGGTGGCGGACGCGGCGGTCCCATCATAACTCCGTCATCCTCCCCATCTTCCTCTTGCGTGGGTCTAGACCGAGGAGGTGGCGGACCCATGGCCACATCATCATCGGAAGGAGCTAGAGTGGAGCTATTAGGGTTACGATTAGGACCGCGTACGCTTCGGAGCCAGGATTCAGAGGAGGAAGACAGAGAAGGGAATCCGGATTCAGATTTACCCGAATCAGATTTCTTCGTTGCAGAATCAGACGAAACTCCGGCTTCAGTAGTGGCTACATCGGCGCGGCGAGTTGCGCTGTGGATAGCTTCGGTTGGCGCCGCAACATTAGATGTCTTACCGAACGAAAGAGGAAAATGAGCTCGTAGACCTTCCAATTCGTCCTCCATCGCTAATCTCTTCTTCTACTTCGTGAAATTGGAATCGTATTAAAAAACGTCCGGTGACCTCGCCGCCACGGAACTTCCCGTTGATGTACCGGCTACAACAAAAAGATGGTGGCGGTTAAGTCCATTAACAATAAACAATTAAACGTTACCATGTTGGGCTTATACATATAAGGCCTAATAACAATGGCTTCTTCTTACAAACCTTAAATATAAATTGAGCCTCAAAATATATAAAAGGCCCATTAATACCCATTTTTCATACCGAAGCAATAATTCTTGTGAGAAAAGAAAACAATCACCTAGAAACGCGATTACAAAGCCTTTTAAGGCCCATTTTACGGGGTCACAGTACAATCATCTCAAATCCGATCAACAACTTTTTCATGGTTAATAGTATGTCTGTGAAACAATAGTTGATATCGTCTTGTAAAAAGAAAATCATAAATTATAGTAAAGTAGAGAGAAATAAAAAATCCAAAAAAAAAAAAATGAAACTATTAGGATATATTAAAATATACTATACTAAATTTTAATCTGCGGTACACCGCTAAACAAAACTTTTTATTTTTATTTTATTTTTAATTCTAATATCATACTTAACTAAAGCAATTTGATTCGATATGTCTTATACTGGTGTTGTTAAAAAATAATATAATGAAGTTTTAACTTGCTTTAAATTATAAGATTAATGATTTAATATTTTAGTAATATCGATTCAACCCCGTTCTATCATACAATCCGTGTATAGATGTTAATTTTTAAACAAATATAATTTGTAATAATCTCTTTCATATATATTTCGTATAACAATATTTACCCGTTTTAATCCGACATGTTTACATCACAATTAATATATTGATGTAGTTAATGATAAAAGAGTTGCACTTGTATCAATATAACCCGGGTTTGAATCTTATCTCCAACATCATATTTTTTTAGTAAAATAATTAAATGTTTTGCAATAAATGCGGGCATTAAATTTTTCTAAAAACCATTACAAAAACTCTATAGTACATTGAGAATTTGATATGTATCATATAAGAAAATCTCATTATAAATATATAATTGTTTTAATGAATAAACGAAACCTTTCTAAATTTTATTAGAAATTTATATATATATATAAGATGTAAAAAAGTGAAAATTATAAGTTATAATTAAGATAACCATAATAATAAATGTTAACCTAGAAGAAATCTATACTATTAAAAGGGAAGCATTTTGTATAAAGTGATCATAGTATATACAATTAAAAGGATAATTAAAAAAAACAAATCTATCTATATTTATGGAAATAATATTGATTTGATTACCATAAAAATATTCAATTAAATTCGAAATTAAACATATTTAATCTAAATTTTTTTTTTTTATATTTTCAAAAACTATATATCTATCTATACTATTAAAAGGGAAGCATTTTGTATAAAGTGATCATAGTATATACAATTAAAAGGATAATTAAAAAAAACAAATCTATCTATATTTATGGAAATAATAGTGATTTGAAAAAATAAAATATTATCCAAACTATTTTTCATAAAAAGCATGATGAGAAATAAAAGTAATGAGAGGAGATCATAAAATCAAGAAACTAAATTCAATTTCAATTTTCAAATATCAAATAACATGTATGATACATGAACAAAAAATTTGAATTGTTAATTTTAGTTTTAACTATTTTATTTCAAATATCAGAACATGAAATAACAGGTACGGGAAATTTGAAACATAAAAAAAATCATCTAAACTATTCATGATAGAATATGAGATGAAAATTTTGGGTAACGTGAATTTAAGAAGAACATATGGAGACATGCTATTTACTAAAGTGGATTACAGGAAATGTATTTTTTGCGGGTCAAAATATTTTAATATGTATTTAGTGTGGAGCATGCATAGCGGACGTATTTGATAGCTCACGGTTCACACTCAGTCTGGATCTGCTATCCTGTCGATCCGACATTCACAAACTTCATGAACGCAAACCAATATTAGTTTATGTTATAAATGCTATAGTGGATAAATATGTCTACAAATAGAACCCTACATTTATGTGTAAGTCTAAATCGTTGACCTATTTTCTTATATGTTTGACTAAAATATACAATCTCAAATGGGTAAATAATTAAAATGCTTATGGAATGGAAAAACATGACATATTAAGACGCACGAGACAAGATTTATGTCCCGAAATTGACAAACTACAATTGTTTTACTATTTTTTAAGGTACAAGTACAACTGTCTTTAATAAAACTAAATCGTATCGGTTTTTTTGTTTAACCTAATTAAAAAAAAAAATCAAATATTGACTTGATACTGGTTTAGATTATAAATGTTTAATAAAATTCCTATATATCTATGTCAAATAATGTGGGTATTGTGTTGTGTGATCTTCTATATATCTATGTTGTGCATTTTGGGAGATCAATCATCATAGATTTATGGAACGTTAATTATAGCTTTGCCACTATTGTTAGCTGCAAATATGTATGAAAAGATTGTTTAATCGGTCTCTAATTATACACAAGCGTTCAAATTATCAAATTTATTAACCTCTATTAATCACATGCATGAACTGTTAAAATCAATTAGTCACACCGTACCCTCTTGATTATAAGTATAATAATACATTTAACAAATCAAATAATGGAGCAAATCAGAGAGTATCAAGATCACGTACGTATAATTAGGATCCAAATTACAGAGATATATTATATCATGTTGTACAAGATAAACTATACGTTAAGGCAAGAATCCTAGAATCACCCAATATAATACCATATGATAATTATATAATTAAGTTAATGGGTTATTTTGGACCACGTGAAATGACATTTTTCTTTTCCTTCTCTTTAGAAATTTGATATTTTTTCGATCTCTCTCAACTACTTCCAAAACAATATTAATAGAGCTACTTGTCATCAATTTTCATCTGACCACACATCAGATAAATTGACTTAATCTCACTATTTCAATTCTAAGAAAATATAGATATTTATAATTTGGGAGAACTAATAACTAAATACTTTTTAAGCGAGAGAATGTGACATTTCATTTTCATAGCTCAAGTCTTTTTTATAAGAATTAAACAATGGATTAAACCATTATATGAGTGTGTGTGTGTGTGTGTGTGTTTGGCGTGAAACATGCGAAAAACGTAGCTTTTACAGGAAACAATGTGAGGACGACGATCTTTATTTGAAACGTATCTGACCCAATTAACTCATAACTCAGTTTTTTTTTTCTGATTAGTTTAAGGTCATCTTAGTCACAAGATTTTTATTAAAAACAAAGGACAGTGGACCATTATGGGCTTTTATATGTTTTTTTTTTTTTATGGCTAAAGTAGATTAAACTATTTTTTTATTAGACATACTATGATTTGTCAGATCAAATTTAATTCTACATAAAAATGGTTTATAGTTAATCCACAAAGATTAACAAAAAAACAATAGTATACTGCGGATTATTTCTAATTTTTTTTCCGATTTGCATCATTATGAATTGTAATTTATGAACAGTAATTAAAAGATAATCTAATCTACAAACATATTTGTCTGCCGCAACCATTCGATGTTACGATGCTATCGGCATTCGAGAAAAATTACCCCATAGCATTCACTATCTTACCAAAGAGTTTGGTTGGTGATTCACTGCAAAGCTGTAATTTGTGATATTTGGACCACTCATATAGATTTGAAATAACATAAAGACGTAAAGTTAAGAAACATGAGAAAAAGATGGAACAATTTTATCTCTATCAAATCTCAAAATCAGAGTTCCCCACTTCTGGCACACAAAAACAAATTATTTCTCACATAATTGGTACTTTTACTAATAGCCAAATGAATGGATACGATAAACATATGTGGAGGTTTTTGATTCATTCAAAAATAAAACTTCAACGTCTATTATAAAGATTGATCAACCGTAAATGTTACAATAGTCCTAACTGTAAAACAACTTGGAACATTATAAAACTGAGAGAATCACTTAGAATGATGATAACCTTTGAAATATAATCTTGCAGCACACATCTTAACATATGGATCTCTTGCCTAGAGGTTTTTGGTTCAAATAGCGTTTAGAATGAGATTATATTACTTGCTTTGATCTTGGTTTGAAGAGATGTATGGACTACTGAGTAGAAACCTGTTATTTACTAAAAAAAAAACATATGGAATAATTGACTCTTATGTATGCAGTACTCATCCATTCAATGGTGTTAACGTAATAATACTTGACTCCAAATTTGGTGTTTGTGTTAGAAAAATCCGAACGTTTCTGCTCTTCCAAATTAAAGACTCCACAAAAATCCATAATGGGATTTTGCCAAATGTGAGATAGTGAAGGCTCACAGTCACATTATTGCAAAGGAAAAAATTATTTTGAGTTTGCTTCCTCCAGTTTTGATTCATTCAAATTTTGTTTATTTTATTTTTACAAATATAATAAAATTGTCTAAATATATAGTTTTTTTAAAAAAATATAAAAAAATCTGGGCCCTATAAATAAGAGAGATCCATCAACTCCCACTGAAACACAAACCAAAATCAATCAGAGAGCTTCTGAGGCATATAAACAAACACAACATGTAAAGTCATTGTAGCTTTTGTTGTAATCCCCTTTTTTTTTCTTTTTTTTGGTCACAACTTGAAACGAAGCTTGTCTGAGTTTGTTTTTGTTTATCTGCTTAATTATGGAACAGGCAAAACGGAAGCGGGAAGAACGTGTTGAAGCCGATGGACTCAGAGCAACTGAGAGAATATGGACATCGAATGGTTGACTTCATTGCTGACTATTACAAAACCATCGAAGATTTCCCTGTTCTTAGCCAAGTTCAGGTCATTGTTTCTTCTTCTTTTCTAGTTTTACAATCATTTTTTTTGGTGTGGGTTTATGGGTTTTACATACAACTCTGATTGTGAGTATTGGGTTTGTAAAAAGTTTCGAAATTTATAAATCCCAGATGTTGTGACATAGTGTGGGTTTAGACCAAATTGGTATTTCTAGTGGTACATTGGGTTTTCCTTGTTCTTGGAGTTGCAAGTTCTTATTCTCTTTTGAGTTAAAATCTCTTTGGTTTTTTTCACAATGTTGGAACTTACTTGTTTTGATTGATGCAGCCTGGTTATCTTCATCAGCTTTTGCCTGATTCTGCACCAGACCACCCTGAGACTCTGGACCAAGTTCTTGATGGTGATTACTTATTTCTAGTTTTGGAGCATTTCTTATGAACGTAGATACTAAATCTGTTTTATGTAAGTACAAACTCTATATGATTTGAGTTTGTTTTGCAGATGTTCGGGCGAAAATCTTGCCTGGAGTAACGCATTGGCAAAGCCCGGGATTCTTTGCTTATTACCCTTCTAACAGCAGTGTTGCCGGGTTCTTGGGTGAGATGTTGAGTGCTGGTCTTGGAATTGTTGGTTTCAGTTGGGTTACTTCTCCAGCTGCCACCGAGCTTGAGATGATCGTTCTTGATTGGCTAGCCAAACTGCTCAATCTACCTAAGGAGTTTCTGTCCAAAGGTACTCACTTCTAAAATCATCCCAACCGCTGCTAATGTGGCTAGTGGCTACTAAGCTATTGTAGGAAATCACTTCTACAATCACTTCTAAGTGTGTCTTGAGTTGAATTGTAGGAAATGGAGGTGGAGTGATACAAGGGTCAGCTAGTGAAGCTGTACTTGTTGTTCTGATTGCTGCCCGCGATAAGGTCTTAAGAAGCGCTGGCAAAAACGCGCTTGGGAAGCTTGTTGTCTACTCCTCTGACCAGACTCATTCAGCTTTACAGAAGGCTTGCCAGGTGAATATTCTGCAGACTTGAAATTAAAGAATCTTTTTCACAAGAAAAAACTAATATACTTGTGGTTTATTGTTGACAGATTGCTGGAATCCATCCGGAGAATTGCAGAGTGCTGGAAACCGACGCCTCTACAAATTACGCTCTGCGTCCAGAATTGCTTCAAGAAGCTGTTTCGAAAGATCTTAAAGCTGGATTGATTCCATTCTTCTTATGTGCTAATGTAAGAAGTAGCCTATTACGTACTTAATTCCCCTCTTGATGAAGCATGTCCTCTGACTATTCTATTTCTTATCTCCAGGTTGGAACCACTTCTTCAACCGCAGTTGATCCATTAGCTGCACTGGGAAAGATTGCAAACGTTAGTTATTTCACATTTTAAAACAAGCTTCATAGCAATCTTGTAAGGCATAGAAACTGATGCTATTTCTTTTACTACCTTTCTCAGAGCAATGAGATATGGTTTCACGTGGATGCAGCGTATGCTGGAAGTGCTTGTATATGTCCAGAGTACCGAAAATACATTGACGGTGTAGAAACCGCAGATTCTTTTAACATGAATGCTCACAAATGGTTCCTCACTAATTTCGACTGTTCACTACTTTGGGTTAAGGTATAGCTGCCGTTTCAATCTCATATTCTCCTTTCTTTTTTTTTCTGTTCGCTTATATAAGAAAAGGATTTCTATTTGGAAAACAGGAGCAAGATTCTCTCACTGAAGCTCTTTCAACAAATCCAGAGTTTCTCAAAAACAAGGTAAGAAAGATTTTTCTCTTCAGAAAAAAAAAAAAGAGTGCAATGTTTCTTCTTCGAATCTGTTAGATTACTAGTCTTACTATCTACTTCATGCTTGTGGTTGGCTAGGCCTCTCAGGCAAACTTGGTTGTTGATTACAAAGATTGGCAAATCCCTCTCGGACGAAGATTCAGGTTCTTTGCTTTTGGAGTAAATCAAATTTCAAGTTTCTTAAGAGTAGCTAGATTTGCTTTACATTTGCATACACGCAATCTGAGTTTTGTTTTGATTAATTGACAGATCACTGAAACTATGGATGGTTTTACGGCTCTATGGAGCTGAGACCTTGAAGAGCTACATAAGAAACCATATCAAACTGGCTAAATATTTCGAAAAACTTGTCTCTCAAGATCCTAACTTTGAGGTAACTTTCGAATTATCTTTTGTAGATTGGTCACACCTCTCTCGGATCTTTTGAAAGAAGGTGAATAAGCGATTATTCTCGTTTGCAGATTGTCACACCTCGGATCTTTTCTCTTGTCTGTTTCCGCTTGGTGCCTAAAAACGACGATGAAAAGAAGTGTAATAACCAAAACCGCAAACTCCTAGAGGCAGCGAACTCTTCAGGGAAACTCTTCATGTCTCACACTGTAAGTGACGACTTATCTTGCTTCTTCTTGTTCTTGCTGGAAAATGTTTTTAATCAGTTAATTATATGTATTTGGTTTGCTTGGGGAATCAGGCTTTGTCGGGAAAAATTGTACTACGTTGCGCAATAGGAGCACCATTGACGGAGGAGAAGCACATGAAGGAGGCGTGGAAGGTTATTCAGGATGAAGCATCTTTCTTGCTTCACAAGTAATCATGAGAGAAAAAAAGAAGAATAAAACGGTTTTTGCCAACAAAGCGAAGCATTTCGGTTTGGTTTGGTTTGGTTTGATTGGACTAATTATTAATAAATAAAATAAAACAAAACTTGCTAAAAAGTCATACTAATGAGTTTAGCGAGGGTGACCTTTGTCTGTCTGTGTGTGTCAGTGTGTATCTATTTGGTTTGGGTTTATAACATTGTTGTTAACTATGTAACCAATGGTAATATTTATATAAATGTTTTTTTAATTACTGTTAATGTGTTCTATATAGCATGCGATAAAACAAAAACATTATAATATAAATAAGTATGTTCGTATGTACATCTTTTCCAATTATAACATTTTACTACTACGTGGGCGGAAGAATCATTCAAATAAAAAAAACTTAGATTAAAGAAAAATGGTATAAACATCAACGTCAAGACGGATTTGCTAGCAATGGAATTGAATGCAACTTGTTTGGTCTTTAAATGGGTAATGGATGGATACAAATCATCAATAGATGAGGTGCGATTGTGTCCAAACGATTTGAAGGAAAACAAAAGTTAAAAGAACATTTTGTAGTCTCTCTGTTATCTCAACGTCGAAAGTACGATTACTCTCTCTCTCTCACCATTGGAGGTCCGACACATGAAAACGTTTAATCATTTTATCATTTCATTATGTTTTGATAACGATTTGGGTTGTAAGGGTTACCATATTAAATACATGGAGAGTGCATTTTTTTCTTTTCTTTTTTTTTTAAACAATTTTTTTTTCTTTATGGAAAATAGAGTGTATAGTCTTAAAATGTTTTTTTTTTTTTTTACAGCAAAAAAAAATTCATACATTCAAGCTAAAAACAAACGGTTTTCTTCGAAAGAGAACCAGTCCGACGTAAAAGAGCTTATATGAGAAAATATAACACTTTGCAAACGTGGCTTTTTATCAAAATAGTCAGTTCGAGTGTTATTAGTGTGTGGAATAAAAGAAAAAAAAAACGATTAAAAATAGAGTTTTAGATGGCTGAAGTTTTCTAACTCCGAAGCAAATGCAGACCACTTATCTGGAGTGTCTAACAACTGAATTAACTCTTAACAATCTGATTGAAAAAAAAACTTCAGAGATAGAAAGTGAGATAATGGACTTCACTGCCCAAAAAAAAGCTTCAAATTCTGCATGAAAGAGAAATAGACAGCGTTATAAACTTTTTAAAAGCAACCCAAGATCCATCAACTTGACAAACAAGCCTCCCCGAACTAAAGGAAGATGTCTCTAACGGAAAAAGAACAGCAAAGAAAATCTAAGAACGAGTCACGCGTTCTCGCAAGGCGAAAAGAATCTGCTTCTTTTACCGCTAAATGACAAGTGTCCGCAGGGCGGACGTTCTTATTTTCAAAGACTTTGGAGTGGCGAGCCTTCCAAATAAAGCACATAATCCTTGGAAAGATTCTGGTAATTTCCTCGGTACCTCCTAATTCTTTAGGGCATCCACATTAATTAGGACAAATTTTTGTCCCATTTTTTTTTTTGCAATTAAAAAAAACATAAAGTTAACCAATTGCGGGCCGCCACATGTCAGTGGGGCCTGCAAATAAGAAGAAGGACCGGCGCAATTCTGCGTACGTCCCGCCTCAAATTTTGTTTTTTTCTTTTTTTTTTGGGTCTGGGACTGGGCACGCCAATGTTTATGGTCTTAGATCTCCAATAAAAATCTTAAAATGTATTTAAACCAACATTATAGGGGTATCTTAGGGCATACTCAATGGTATGGTAGCCTCTTAGGGCTAAGATTTTCTTAAAAGAATACCTTATATAATGTACTCTCTTAAATAAATCTTAGTTCTAAGAGGCTACCATTGATGATGGTTTTAGGGCATCCTCATTGTGAGTATCTTAGGAGGCTACCCCTAAATTCTTATATACAGTAAAACCTCTATAAATTAATAATGTTGGGACCATGAAAATCTATTAATTTATAGAGGTATTAATTTATCGATAAATTAATAATTATTAATTTATAGAGAGATTTTCCTAATTTGAAAGTTTTTTTCAGAAAAATATTGAAAAATGAGATTTAATCATGATAATTAGTATTTTATATAATCAATTACAAAGAAAATAATAATTATTATGTCTTGAAAGAGAATGCCAACAATTTTTGATATAATAAAATATTAGAAATAAACTCTAACAAAACTAATGTGTTTATATATACATATATTTTGAAAATTTTACCTAATTATTAATTTATAATATTATTGGGACCATATATTTATAAAGGATTTTCAAAAAAATTATTATCTTATTATTTAATCGAAATATGTCTAAAATTACACTGTTTCCAACTTGGGACCGGAGAAATTTATTAATTTATAGAGATTATTAATTTATCGAGTATTAATTTATAGAGGTTTTACTGTAACATATTTTCTTTGAAAAAGTGGGGTATTTTAGTCTTGTAAGATACCCCCAATGAGGATGGTATTAAGAGCTAAGATACCCCTACATTTTCAAAGAAAAGATATTGCATAAGATCTTGCATGAGATTTTTCTTTGAAAATGGGGGTATGTTGCCCTTATACAGTATATATTTTTAAATTCTGGTCCTCGTTATACATAAGGCAATAAGTATCTTTAGAACAAATCAGAAAGCTTAGGAGGCATAAACACTAATCCGACGCAGAAGAAAATACAAAATGTGAGTCCCTGAAAGAATTTGGAATCTCATTTTTCTCTTAGTTTCATCGAATGGTCTGAGTTTTTTTGTATTTCCTTCAGGGAAAATGGAAGCGGGAGGAACGTGTTGAAGCCGATGGACTCAGAGCAACTCCGAGAACACGGACATCGAATGGTCGACTTCATTGCCGATTATTACAAAACAATCGAAGATTTCCCTGTTCTTAGCCAAGTTCAGGTCAGTTTCTTCTTCTTTTCTTCAAACAATCAGTTTGGTTTATGGGTTTTACATAGAAGAACTCGGATTCTGAGACTTGGGTTTGTAAAAAGTTTCGAAATTTATAATACCAGATGTTGAAAGAGACCTAATTTCTGCTAAATTTGTTAATGTATATTATGGGTTTAGACCGAACTGGCTTTTCTAATGGTACATTGGGGTTTGCTTGTACTTGGAGTAGCAAGTGTTTTTTTTTTTTTTTACTTTCTCTTGTGTGTTGTGTCAAAATCTCTTTGGTTTTTTTCACAATGTTGAAATTTACTTGTTTTGATTGATGCAGCCTGGTTATCTTCATAAGCTTTTGCCTGATTCCGCACCAGACCACCCTGAGACGCTGGACCAAGTTCTTGATGGTGACATAATTGAATACCCCACTTGCAGTTTTTTGTTGAGACTAGGTATATACTAAACTTGATTTGGTTTGAGCTTCTTTTGCAGATGTTCGCGCGAAGATATTTCCTGGAGTTACGCATTGGCAAAGCCCAAGTTTCTTTGCTTATTACCCTGCTAATAGCAGTGTTGCCGGGTTCTTGGGTGAGATGTTGAGTGCTGGTCTTAATATTATTGGTTTTAGTTGGATTGCTTCTCCAGCTGCCACCGAGCTTGAAATGATTGTTCTTGATTGGCTTGCCAAGCTTCTCAACCTACCCGAGCAGTTTCTGTCCAAAGGTAATTGTTATAAAACATACAAAACTTGTTTGCTTAAGACCTAATAAGTGTGATTTTAAGTTGTATTGTAGGAAATGGAGGTGGAGTAATACAAGGGACAGCTAGTGAAGCTATTCTTGTTGTTCTGATTGCTGCCCGCGATAAGGTCTTAAGAAGCGTTGGCAAAGACGCGCTTGAGAAGCTCGTTGTCTACTCCTCTGACCAGACTCATTCAGCTTTACAGAAGGCTTGCCAGGTGAATATTGCAGATTTGATATTGAAGAATCTTTGTCAAAGAAGAAGCTAATATTCTTATGGCTTATTGCTGACAGATTGCTGGAATCTATCCAGCGAATTGCAGGGTGCTCGAAACCGATGCCTCTACAAATTATGCTCTGCGTCCAGACTTGTTTGAAGAAGCTGTTTCAAAAGATCTTGAAGCTGGATTGATTCCATTCTTCTTATGTGCTAATGTAAGAAGTAGCCTGTTAATTACATACCCTCTTGAAGCATGTCCTCTGAAATTTCATTTTTGTTATTTCCAGGTTGGAACCACTTCTTCAACCGCAGTTGATCCATTAGCTGCATTGGGAAAGATTGCTAACGTTAGTTATTTCACATATTCAAACAAGCTACATTGAGACTTCTTATGACATATATTGAAACTGATGCTATTTTTCTTGCTACGTTTCTCAGAGTAATGAGATATGGTTTCATGTGGATGCAGCATATGCTGGAAGTGCTTGTATATGTCCAGAGTATCGACAATACATCGACGGTGTGGAAACTGCAGCCTCTTTTAGCATGAATGCTCACAAATGGCTTCTTACTAATTTCGATTGTTCACTACTTTGGGTTAAGGTATAGTAATTAAGCTCTTTTAACCTCACCTTCTCCTTTCTCCCTCTCTTCGCGTTTATAAGTAAAGGATTAATATTTGGAAAACAGGATCAAGATTCTCTCACTGAAGCTCTTTCAACAAATCCAGAGTTTCTCAAAAACAAGGTAAGAAAGATTTTTCTCTTCACAAAAAATCTCAATATTTTTTCCTTTGAATTTTATTATCCAGTTTTTACTTGTGGTTGGCTAGGCCTCTCAGGCAAACTTGGTTGTTGATTACAAAGATTGGCAAATCCCTCTTGGACGAAGATTCAGGTTCGTTGCTTTTACAAAACAAAAAATTCAGATTTGAAACTTAAGACTAAATTTGCATACATTTGCATATACAATCTGAGTTTTGTTTTTGTTTATATATTGACAGATCATTGAAACTATGGATGGTTTTACGGCTATATGGAACTGAGAACTTGAAGAGCTATATAAGAAACCATATCAAACTGGCTAAAGATTTCGAACAACTTGTCTCTCAAGATCCTAACTTTGAGGTAACTTTCGAAATCTTTTGCAGATTGGTTAAACCTCGGATCTTTTGAAAGAAGGTGAATAAGAGATTATTCTTGTTTGCAGATTGTCACACCTCGGATATTTTCTCTTGTCTGTTTCCGCCTCGTGCCTACGAACAACGATGAAAAGAAGTGTAATGAACAAAACCGCAAACTTTTAGACGCAGTGAACTCTTCAGGGAAACTCTTCATTTCTCACACTGTAAGTGTCTTCACTAGTCATTACCTTCTTCTTCTTGTTCTGGCTGGATAATGTTTTTAATC